ATAACCGCGTAACCAATCAATAATCAGTAAAACGCGAAACCACAACAACGGATCGCTTCTGATTGGTTACGCGGTTACGCGATACGCGGTAAATACACCTCATGGGACTCCAGCCTAAGAGCATTTGAAAGAAGCAAGTGGACCGCAGCCTTAAGTACAGTCTTAAGATGTCATGAACCAATCAGAAGGCCGCATTAGCGACTTAAGACATTACTTAAGACGGTCTTAAAATAAGAACCGACTATGAATACCGGCCTTTGTGCCGCTATATGAATATGAACAGAAACGAGTGGAAATGGATGGCCACGTTTATCCGGTCTTTACTATCGCCGGAACCTGGGCCACTCAAATATTAGAAGAAGAAGAAGAAGACGAATGGAAACGAGTGATGCCTGATACGGCAATGTGCGACTTTTCCTTGTCTGAAATGTGTCGCTCTTATCGCGGTAGGCGCAAGTAACCAATGCCCAGCGTGCGGATAAACACCTTTCGCAGCCAACTAAATACGTACTAACTAAATCTGCAGTATTCGCAATCCGCCTATATTATAAATTGCCGCTATTCATCCCGTAACCCTCCAGCGAGTTACCCCGAACATATAACGCCTAATCTCTGATTTAGATCTCGCTAAAAGAACCTCTCTCACAAAATTTCGATGTTCAACAGCTCCGGCTACGAAACCGTGGACAGTAACGTCGCGTGATTTGTTATATACTACGAGACGAAGACGACATAAGGGCACTCGACGACAAGCATGTATGTATCCATCGCTCACTTGGTCGTGCAGCAATTTTACATTTTGCATGATCCTTCTGAACAATAACATTGCAAGAAAACATTCCACCCAACATAGCATTAATTGTTTGACCTTTAATATTGGTTCTTCATTGTAAATAGGAATAAATCCGTGGAGAATCTATTGATATCCAGCCACGAAGTGATCAGCAGTATCAATTCCACTGGTTTGGGCAATCAAGGTATAGCAACAAATTTGGGGTGTACCACGGCTACCGAAAAGGTACAGGAAACGTCTGCATCTGGCGTCGATTGTAACAGTCCTGTATCAAGTCCCAACTTGTCTCCACGTCCCAGTCCGAGAGCTCATTCTAAACGAGAGTTTTCCAAAAATCCTGATTCTGCTGTCAAAGAATCACTCCGTGCGAATAAATCAGACGATCAGCTATCAAGTGGCCATCAAGTATGTATCGATGAAGCATTTTACAAATTTTTTAGATATTTATTAGTATCATTGTTGAATTGATGTAATTTTAACATCATTGATGAAATTGATTATTAATGTACAATAATTTATAATATTAAGCATTATGTTTTTTTTAGCAGAACTTGTATGGTTTATCTTTTCTTTCCAATATGGAGAGAAAAGGAAAAAAGATGAACTGTACAAGAACTTTAGCTTAAAAAAACAGACTTATTACTTCCAGCTTCAATTTATGATTGCATTTCAAATTTGACAAATCAAATTGACACAAATTTTATAAATATAAATATAGCTTTATTAATATCAAGATTCATTTTAACCAAATATAGGATTCTTTTTCTTATTTGTATTATATACAACTTATTTCGTTTAAATATTACAGGATGTAATAAGTAGATCATCTGACTCAGCTGATCTCAATAAGAGTTCCATTCATGAGAATAAAAAAGAGGCACGTAGCAGTGAACGGAGTAAAAAGAAGTCTTCTTGGTACAATGTACTTTACCCAACTTATAAATCTCGTTCCGAAGACTTTAAACGAATATTCAAAGACGTGCCTGACGATGAGAGATTGGTGGTAGGTAAGTATTATATATTTTTTAAATGTTTTTTTTTCTCTCATTCAAGAATGTATTATGCAACATTGTATTCTTGCGAAATACTTTCATTGTACTAACTTATATTTTTTACATCCACACGACTGTAAAACAATATTTAACATTTCATGATTTAATCAATCTAGCATTGTAACTTTTAGATTATTCTTGTGCTCTGCAGCGTGAAATATTAGTACATGGTAGACTTTATGTATCTCAAAACTATGTGTGTTTTTATGCTAATATATTTATGTGGGAGACGTTGGTCTCTCTACGTTGGAAAGATGTTACATCTATTACCAAAGAAAAAACTGCACTTGTCATTCCAAACGCTATCTTGATATGCACCATTACTGACAAGTTCTTCTTAACATCATTTGGAGCAAGAGATAAAACGTATGTGATGTTATTTCGTGTTTGGCAAAATGCTCTTATCGGCGAGGTACGCATATATATCATATATAACTAATTATCCACTTTAGATGATCTATAATTCACATCAGATTTTCAGGATAAATAAAATTCTATTTATGACTTTACATGTCATATGTGAGACGAAGAATGTTTGAAGAAAAGTGTAGAGATCAGGAAATACATATATGTTAAATAGAAGTTATAAATTATATAAAGTGGGCATAACTTAAGATTTCTCTCTCTTAATTATATTGTGTTTTATTGTACAAAGATTTTAGAAGATCTTTATCTTGAAAAATATCCTAATCAGAGAAATTATTGAAAACTATCCTTTTCAGACAATTTATAAAAAAAAATTGCAGCAGAAATATTTTGAAAAGACCATACAATAAGCATTAGTCTACCTTATTTATTTGTTCCATTATAGTGCATCTTTGCTAACGCTTGGTAAATCGATATTTTCTTGAAACACACTTTGATAGTTCCTTCGGTTATGATATCTTCGCTAACAGTATTGTACCGTATATACTTTTTAATAACCCTCGAACGGCACACTTATTTTCAATCTTCGAACGGCACACATGGATCATTTGTGTCCAACTCGATTTTAAGGCTTTTAAAGTATTCGAAAAATTCTGAAAAAATTCACATATGTTCTTTAAGGTCTCTACTAAATTATTCTGCTATCTATGTAGACATTGGGAAAAAAAAGTTTAGAAAAATTATGAAAATTACTTTCTCCATCAGAAAAAGAAAATAATTCAGTTTTGATAAAAAAAATTGTAACTTTGCTATACACGTACACAAAAAAACCATTGTAAAATGTTATTATATAGATATGATACTTAACAAAAAAAAATATTACAGGGGCCAAATGCAGAAAAAGTGCAATTATTTAAGCATCTGAAAATATATTTTTAATGTGAACAAATAATATTTTTTAGAAGAAAAAACAATTTGATTTTATTATCGAATACTAAAATAATTATTTATTAACAAATAAAAATAATGAAAAAAGTGATTACAATTATAAAATATTAAATTTTTTAAAGGGGGAAAATTATATTATTAATTATATCAATTATATATTATCAAATTCTTGTAGTACGTTCCTCTGTGCCATGTTATCTTTACCATAAAAAGAAAAATAATTTTGTTATTTTTAAAAAGCACTTAAATTTGCATAAATAAATAAACGCGAAAAAATTTTTTAGATTAGAAAAAATATGTATACACAATAAAATAAGCCTACTCAATACAAAAATAGCAAAATAACTGAATTCACTTGTGAAAAAGACACCTTCCAACAGCACACATAGATCTTTTAGTTCCGCAACTTTGCGATTGCACTGCTTGACAATACATAGAAGTTCCATGTCGCCGTTACTTCCTTATATCTCTTTCATCACAAAGATTTTTTATAGAGGGGAGACAGAACCAAGCACACAAGTGTATGAGAAATAAGAACTATTAGAAATCGCATGAACACGAATGACCCATATGTACCGTTCGAAGGTTAATAATTTAATGTGCTTCCTACAAGTTACAGTTCAGATATTAAGTATATATATATATATATATATAATTTTAAAAATAAGAAAACATTAATAGAGAGAAAACATTAATATTTTGTTCTATTTTTGTTTCTACTTCTGAAAACTACCTATAAGCATTAATCGGGGTGTTATTCAAAAACGAAAATATTTGGATCTTAATACAATGCTCCAGAGAATAAATCACAAGAATAAGAATCCAAGCCAATGCGAACCAACACAAGTTAGTAGTATGTAGAATCCATATATTTAAGATAAAAAATTCTTTACAGAACATTTTAACCCTTGATATTGGGTCATCCTCATTGTAAAATTAAACAGGTGCTCAATAATTGTTTAACAAAGTAATGGAAAATATGATATAAATGTCGCTAATCATTGTAATATAAATCGCTGATAACACATATCATATTTTCCATTACTTTGTTAAACAATTATTGCACATCTGTTTAATTTGAGGATGACTCAATGTCAAGGATTGAAACGTTTGTGAAGAATTTTTTGTCTTAAATATATGATTCTACACATGACTAACTTGTATTCGTTCGCATTGGTTTGGATTCTTATTCCGAAAATATTTTGTACTCTTAGAATGTACGTTTCTTCAAACATAAAAATTTCTGTTGCTATATTTCAGCCAATGAGTATGGCTGAAATGTGGCAGCTTGTACATACCTGTTATGGTGATGAATTAGGATTGACGTCTGATGATGAAGATTACGTACCACCATTACCTACGGCAGACGACGAAAAGTTGTCAACTCGTCTCTCTGTAGAATCTTTCTCTGAGGTAAGCCTAACAATATCTATAAATTGTTAAACATAATATTGCTTTTCTTATTATTATTATATTGAATGAAACAATAACGTGATTTTATTTTTGTATTAAAAAGATTTTAAAAATCGAAAAATATTAAAGTACTATATTTAAATGGAATCTCCTATTTTACATATTCTTGTAGCTTACCTCGAGTCGAGAGCTTTTCAAAACACTATAATAAAATTTATTTTCTTTAAGTGCTTTTTGTGTTGAGGATTGAAAGTTATAGTCTCGCCGGCATTAACATTACATATATAGAGTGTCAAAAGTCTGGAAACGGTCGAATATTTCAAAAGGAAAGCATTGTTGAGAAAAATGTTTCAGACAAAAATTGTAGAGTTCAAAAAGATCTATTCACTGGTGTCCGACCGATGGATAAAAACCTCTTGAATGTTGTTTAGAATCATGATCTAGATAACATTTGTCAAGATCAAGGCCATTGAAGGTTGTTTCTCTTATTTTTATTTTTCCACTAAAAATTCATTTTTACATAATGAAAATAAGAAAAACAACTTCCAATGGCTTTGATCTTAACAAATGTTATTAAGATTATGAGTCTGAATAACATTCAAGAGGTTTTAGCCATCGTTTTGGCACCTTGAGTAACGCCAATACCAATAGTATACTGTAACTTTCGAGCGTCATAACTAGAAAAACTTAATAAACATTTATTTTATTATAGTATTTTGAAAAGCTCTCGAGGTAAGCTACAAAAATATGTAATGAAAAATAGAGGGTTCCATTTTAAAAAATCGACGTGATCCAAGGTCAAGGGAATGTGATCAGATCTGAATAAATCTGTTTAAACTCTACAACTTTTGTCTGAAACATTTTCCTCAAAAATGCTTTATTTTTGAGATATTCGACTGTTTCCAGACCTTTGACACTCTATATGATGTATATATATATATATATATGTATATGTATATATATATATTGTAACCGTACTCGTGACCAACGGCACAACTTCGTGGCGTGTTCTTCGTTCTCCTCTTATGCAAAAATATCTCTTTTCTCTCGGTAACTGAATTTTGCGAGCCAGGTGGTTTTTTGGCCAAGATTGTAATTCTTAAACGATAAATTTAAATAACCGTGGATCAATTAAAAATATGAACGTTTTAAACAAGGCTTCTTCCACGTGCGCTTGATAAAATTAGCGAACAGATTATTTATTATAATCTATATGTATTTCATAATAAAAAGACGTTTCGGTCTGTCATCAGACCATTTTCAATAATGTCAAAAACAAAAAAATTTTTTCGTACAAATTAATGAAAACACATTAAAAAACATAAAGAAACGGGTTCAGTTCTTGCAGAACATATGAATAGTGGTCATATGAATAGTGGTCACAGTTTCAATCGGGAAGATGTGAAAATTTTAGATAAAGAACCTTATCTTTCGAAACGGTTGACTTCAGAAATGATATATATAAAAAAACAGACAAATGGCCTAAATAAGCAAATAGATACACAGAATTTTCCGGAATCATATGTATCCTTACTAAATATAAAATAACAAAATCTTGTAATATTAGTCTTTGCGTCTGCGCAAGTAACTCATATAAATAAGGCATAGCATAACAACTGTAACAGTCACATTTTTGTTTTCTTAGAACGATCTTGTCCTCTCAAGTATAATGTTTAAAAATTTTTGTGAAAATTTGGTCACATAGTGAAATCTGATCGAGGTTTGAAGATTGAACGCAGGTAATTTCGAAGTTTTTTAATAACCACAAATTGATGCTTCTAATTTTAACGTATAATGACTTTTTCTCACATTTAATTAGTATTGACTAATGTTTCTAAAGTTAATTATTGAAATGTTGAGAATTGAAATTGACTGATAATAAGAATCTTTTTATAACATAGTTACCTTTTTTCCTGTTTTATTAATATCTGGAAATGATGCGTTCAGTCATTAAACTCATAAAGTTATTAGGGATCGAAAAGACATATTACTGTTATTTACACAGAATATATGAGGTATGGTATTATGTTAATAATAATATAGAAATGATTGTTAGATTGTTAGATTGATAATTTTTGGTTCTGAATAGATAACTAACATCACCACTGACGTCATAATAATTTTGAACAAGTTGAGAAAGAATATTGATTAACGTTGGATTAACGTAATCCAATCACGACCGTAACATTGTAAATTTAGATTTTAGACAAAAGAATTTTTGTATTATGTAATGCGTTTTCATTAATTTGTACGAAAAAATTTTTTTGTTTTTGGCATTATTGAAAATGGTCTGATGACAGACTGAAACGTCTTTTTATTATGAAATACATATAGATTATAATAAATAATCTGTTCGCTAATTTTATCCAGCGCACGTGGAAGAAGCCTTGTTTAAAACGTTCATATT